GAAAATAAATTTTAAGTTTAAACACATTTGAGAAAATATTTTTAGACGTGTATGTATGTGTGTGTGTGTGTGTGTGTGTGTGTGTGTGTGTGTATTGCCTTAGCACTTTTAAGCTACTCTTTACTTTTACAATACTCTGGTCCCTCAGACAGACATACATGATCTATCCAGCTTTTACACCTTTCTCCAAGACTTCAACTTTTTTGCTTGATAGTTACTGATTTGCACTGGCATTTTATCTTTAGCCATTTTGTTGATGAGTCATAAGATAATTTCTTTCATTATCATCATCGGGGTTGAAAGTTACTGTCGTGCGTTGCCGTCATCAAACTTTAAATGCAGAGCTTCATAACATACAAACACATAAATCCACATTTCCCCCCCATTTTTTATGATTCAACATTTTTCTTTAGTCTTCTCATCTGATGTGTATGTGCTAACATACTAACCTCTGAGCTGACTAATAACTCTTTTTGAACATCCTCTTTGCCAAATTGTACAAAAAACGAGAAATAATGGTGTGTGTAAGGATAATTGCTTAGTACTGACGGTTGACTGGTACTATCTATTTTTATGTGTGCACATTTGGCTTGGTATCTCCCTGACTTTGTGTGATATTTTTTTTCTCTGTGTGAGTAATAACTTTTGACTATTTTTTACTAACTATTAAATGTGTGTTTGTACATGAATAACTCATCTTGAATGATTGCATGACTTATGAAGTGTGCTATATATTATGTTGTTTTTGTTGTTTTTGTTGCTGTTGTTTACTCTGATTTCTGTTATTATTGTTATTGTCTTGCCTAAGTATATCATTGATACTTAGTTGTTTACTCTGATTTCTTTAGCTTGAAAATTTGTTTTGCCAACATTTTCCAAATGGGGGACATTATTGGTCCTTTTGGGGTTGGTTGAATTATGCAAAATAACTTGAAGTTTGCTCAGGCTGGTTCTGGTGTAGAAGAGACATATGTTAAACACAATATTCCGACATGTGTGCTGCAACATCTAGTCTCTGGCCACAGACAGATGGTATTACATTTTATTTTCTATCCAAAATTTTCTTTACAAAAGAAGATTTACAAGTCATTGAAAGTAGTATTTTTGGATGTTCTAGTGCAACATGTGAAACACAATGTTCCAGCACGTGCTGCGTACATATGACCTTGTTCAGTACGCTATGATGAGTGTCGTTTGGTGCAATTTTTCTGAGTAGATTTCAATCATATTTGTTGCAGATCTATTAGCAATGTTTGTTTGATTTGTTTGACAACTGGAGATGTTCAAATCATATTTAAATGGATATTTAAATTTGAATTTGAAATATTTTCGAGAATATCATATCCAACAAAATCAGTTATTTTCTGGACTAAATAAAATCAAATATCCAAGGAAAAAGAGCCAAGAAGACATTGCTATATAAGGAGGCTGAAGTCTCATGCTTAAGGCTTAGATTTTGTGTGCAAGGACTGGGTTCTTTGTGCTAGGGTTTGAGACTTTGTTTCTTGTTTTCAACGATAATGTCATAACTGGATTAGTGTTGAATCTACGTGTAAACCACTTTATGTTTCAGTAACTTGGCATAATTATTGGTTTGTCTTAATTGAGTTGTAAATTTAACAATCAATAGACTTGTTATTACTTATTGAGGTTGATCACCAGGGTTTAGTGGTTGAAGAAAATGAGTGAATTCTTATATTTAGGATGAGTCCTAAATAGAAAGTCACTAGAATTAAGGAGAGACATAGAACTTCATAGAATTTGAAGGTTCTTATAAAACTAAATTTTCTAATTTGAAGTAATGAATTTTCTTTCTTGGATAGAGTTCCCCTAGATGTAGGTGTGGTTTCACTAAATTGGGTTACCAATCTCTTGTGTTATTTATTACTTTTACATTGACTCTGCATTACTGTCCAGATGTGTTTAAAACCTAGTTCAACTTGTTGGACCCATTTCTCCAACATCGTGTCCAACATTTGTGTTGGAGAAATTTCTAAAATATTAAATTGATAAATAACAATGGTTAAATTAACAAAATAATTGATCAAAAGATGCAACTATCTAGAATAGAACGAGATACCGTATAAGATTGGGTGCGTGGTCAAAATGTGCAACCACCAAATTAACATAACTTTTCATAAAAAAGTTTGTTGTTATTGATATACAATGGTTCGCGAATGGTCATGTGGAATCAAATGAAACGTTGTTTCTTCTCACCAATTGGTACAAGTTTTTCTATAAATAGAGATACTTGTTAGACATAAAATATACACAAAAATTACTTATTTCAAATGCCAAAAGTTATATCTAAGTCATTCTTTTATTTTTCTAGTGCACAAGAATTAATAATGAAACTTTATTCTGTAAAATATTGTTGATCGATATGCATAATGTGAATGTGCAATTCATGTTAAGGTTTTCCAAAGTATCCTGAAGAGGATTCGCCGGTTAACTCGTTTGCATCCCATTTGCATAAATTGGTGGGGGCGAATCGAACCTAAAGCTTAGTGTAAACACACGCTTTGAAATTTATTTTGTGCAACTTTTATCGTATTGTTTTCATCTTCTTCTTATTCATGTTTTGCAGCAGACCTCCAACACAAGATCTAACAATTTGTCCCCTGAAGAACATAATTTTATTGTGACAAAACGAGTATTCATGCAAGTGCCACATCGAGTAGCAGGAAGAAAAAAGAAGTAGAGTATTAGTATAAATAAAAAAAAAGTTAGTTTTAGTTTACTTAACCACAAATACTTTAGTCTTGTGGGTGTAATAGAGTTTAAGTAGTTGTGTGTTATGAGATGATTTGTAATTTTTCCATACAAAAATTATAGACAACATTTATAATTTTTTTGTGCAAACAAATTATAGTTGAGAGAGACTACTCAAATTTTTAGTGCAAATATTATAGTTGATTGGATTGATAATTTTTCCATGTGAAAATTGTAGTGGATAGAGTTTGCAATTTTTAGTGTAAAAATTATAGTAGAGACAATTTGCCATTTTCCCATTAAAGAATTGTAGTTAAAAAAACTTTACAATTTTTTTATTGTAAAAATTACAATTGTACGAGAGGATTTGTAATTTTGTCCTTATAAGAAATACAAATTGAGAAATAAAATATTTTTGTTGAAAAAAATATGGATTTATAATTTTTCCCTTGTAAAAATTATAGTAAATAAACATTTATGTTGAGATATTGTATTTTTTAGGTGTGAAAAGTGTCGAATGACAATAAATTTATGAATTATATTTTTTGTTGACTTATTGCTTTCTTTTTTTCCGGGTGTTCTTCTCATGCATTGAAGTTTGTCTTTTGTTATTTTCCTAATGTTTCAATTAAGAGGAAAAGGAAGATAAGCAGTTAGGGGTGGAAATAGGTTAGGCCGAACTAGGTTTTGTCAAATCTAAGTCTGATCTGCCAAAAAAACTGAAGATTAAGTCTGGTTTGTAGCTTGTCATAAGCTTATTTTTGAATCTAAGTCAGCTCTTTTCTAAGGTCTGATTAGTCTGTTAGCCTATATAAAAACATGTTGTTTTAAATAAACTAACAAACTAAAAAATCAATGAGACTAAATTTTTGTTTATATTATAACTTACTTTAACTTACCTATTATCATAAATTTTGTGAAATTATTTGTTTAAGATAACTTATGAAAATAACTTATAACATTTTTCATAAGGTGTTTTCATCTTATTTTTATAAGTTCTCTAAGATAATCAATTTTTATTTATGTATTTTAATTTAAAGTACAAAAGATAATATAATGATAATAAAAAAATTATTTATATTTATTTAAATAGGTTGGTCCGATAGACGTAAAAGACTTTTTTTCATGGTCTGAGGGCTAATATTTTTAACTAAATAGACTTATAAAAAAACCTAAGTATTTTCTATTTAAAAAAACTTGATCTGTCTTAAGTCTGTGTAGGTTAGGCCTGTAGACTCTTGTTATCGACCTCACCTATTTTCAACCATATAAAGAACAAAGAGGAGAACCATTACAAAGATGAGTATTTGTCAAAAACTAATAGGGAGGAGAAGGAGGAATCAAAAAGAAGAGTCAAACCAATCTAAACCAAACTAAGATAACCAAAACAATTCAAACCAACGCAGAGAGGAACCAAACAAAACTAAACAAAACTACAAGCACACGAGTAATATCATAAATGATGGTTAGAACTTAGAGGATTATCATATATAATCCAATTATTTCATGCCCACAAAGTGAAAGATAGTATGTCGAGAACAATTTAACGATTTAACGGAAAAAAATTTCTTCAATAGAATCAATCATCAAAATGAAAACAACATTTTTTCAAACTTTTAAAAATTCAATTACATAAGCGGCGAATAATTCAAGAAGAATCGAAACAAACTCCATATATAATATTAAATGAACTTGAATTTCATCTCAAACACATTTATATATCCAACAATTTAAAAATCTAACCTATAAAGATAAAAGTTATGTGAAGAGAGAAATATTTTGAGATTAATTAATATTATAACAACAAAAAGGATTAATTTATGTTATGACACAGTCAAATTAAAAGTTATTTTTATATATTTTTTAAATGATTAGTGGTAGTAGTATTTTATTGTACTAACTAATGCTTATATGTTTAATCATTCAAAAATTGAACAATTACTTTCTTACATGTACTTTTTTTTTGACAATTTCCTCTTTACATATAAAATAAGATTTGTATGATTTTTTCTTCAAAAATATTAATACTATTATCCCCTTTCCGCCCTCATTCCACATCAACAACCAAACCCCACCAACTCTTTATAAATAATTGAACCCTCTTCTCTATCCCTCTCATATTCTATTCAACTATAACACTTATTTATTTACATCACAACAAGAGAAAAACAAAACAGAAAACAAATATTCCTTTTGAGCTAGTTCTCAAACACATTTGGTATAATATCCCAAATTTCTTCTACAGTTTCAAGATCAACCCATAACAGAGAAGAAGGATCATTAGTTTCATGTCAATGGGTGACATGTTGAGACTCACTTTGGCCTTATGTGTTTTAACCTGTGTGTTTTTGACATGTTCAGCTCAAACATGTAAAAACCAAACATTCTCAAACAACAAAGTATTCACAACTTGTCGCGATCTTCCGCAATTAACCTCGTATCTCCACTGGTCATACGATCAAGCCAGTGGCAAACTAGAGATAGCATTCAGACATGGCGGAATCACTTCGACAAATACGTGGGTTGCTTGGGCTATCAATCCCAGCAACACGCTCGACCCGGCCATGCTTGGAGCTCAAGCTTTGGTTGCTATTCCACAATCTAACGGAAGCCCAAAAGCATATACTTCATCCATTACAAGCACAAGCACATCGTTGCAAGAAGGATCAATTAGTTATCCTACTTCTGGTTTATCTGCGACGTATCAGAATAATGAGGTTACTATTTTTGCGACTTTGACTCTTCCAAATGGTACTACCTCGTTGGTTCATGTATGGCAAGACGGGTTTTTATCTTCTTCTGGTTCGACTCCTCAAGAACATAGTCATGAATCTTCCCACCAAAACTCTAAAGAAGTCTTGGATCTTGTTTCTGGTACCTCTCAAACTGTAAGCGGAATCGGTTCACGTCAAAGAAGAAGAAATGTAAGTATATATGTTTTAAGGATTTAATTGATATACGCTATAGTTCAATATGATACGTGTTGAATCTGAATTATGATTCGTCTTGATTTTCAGACTCACGGAGTACTAAATGCAATAAGCTGGGGAATCTTGATGCCAACAGGTGCAGTAATAGCAAGATATTTGAAGGTATTCAAATCAGCAGACCCGGCATGGTTTTATCTTCACATAACATGTCAAGTTTCAGCTTACATAATTGGATTATCTGGATTTGGAACTGGTCTCAAACTAGGTCATGAATCAGAGGGTATTACATACGACACACACAGAGCAATTGCGATTGTTCTTGTAACGTTCGCGACTCTTCAAGTATTTGCTCTGTTTTTGAGGCCAAACAAAGACCATAAATTTAGACTCTACTGGAATATCTACCACCATGTGATTGGATACGCAACCATAAGCCTTAGCATTGTGAATGTTTTTAAAGGCTTTGAAGCTTTAGGAGATTCTGTAGGGGATCGTTACAAGAACTGGAAACATGCTTACATTGGAATTATCGGTGCTTTGGGGGGTATTGCTGTCTTTTTAGAAGCTTACACTTGGATGATATGTCTGAAGAGGAAGCAAGTAGAGAACAAAACTTCAAATGGTGTTAATGGTGCTAATGGATATGGACCATATGGTTCTTCTACCCTCTAGGTGTAGAAAGATTATATTGAATTTTTTCAGTTATTTTTTGGCTTTTTATTACATTTTAGACCCCTTTGTATATTTTGGGTACTTCAGCTTCTTCTTAAGAGTCTCAGTTTTGGCTTTTGAGGTAATTCTTTCACAGGATACTTACTTTTAGGGGTGTGTTTTCGTGTGTAGTGTGTTATATACATTGTATCATTTTCTATTTCTTCATATTTGTATTTATTGTTTAATTATGTTTTACTCTTTCTATATCCTTGGAGTTTCAAATATTTTTTTTACTATAACGTTCTTTGGGAGCAACACCTTTCTTTAGCTTATGGCAAAAGCAAAATGAAAAATGATGATTTTTACTTGAATGTGTGAATCAACTGAAATTGAATAAAAAACAAAAGCAAGAAGGGTTCAATTCATACTCTTCTTCAATTCATACCAAAACCAACTCATTTCTCATTGTTTCAATTTTTAAAACATTATTTTGGCGTAAAGTCTAAAGTTAGAGGTGATGAAACATATAACTCAAATTCCATGTAAAAAATATTCGTTTAGACACACATAGACTTGGTCAAAATAAGGATATGCTAACATAAAATGAAATTATTATAAAATTGAGTTAAATCCAAATATAATTTCGAGAAATTCATTGATGCTAGGTTTTGTTGTATTTATCTTCAAACTATAAATTTCTTAGTTTGCAAACCAAACAAGAAAGGGACATTCATGCCAACTCACATCATGATGGATGGCTACCTACTTGCGATTTTTTTAACATATTTTTTACCAATTTTTATTTTTAAGATAATACCAACTACCAAAGACTGTCATAGAATATTAATATGAAAAGAAACAAAAGCATGGTTAAAAAACGATGATGTTTCTTGGCAGCCGGCTCAATAGGCCATATGTGAATGGAATCATTCTAAAGCGAGTTGTATTAGAATACACGTGGCATTCTAGAAAGAATAAAAGACTGGATTAAACTAATAATTTGGTGAGAAAGATTGCAAATGAAGTGGTAAAATGATTAAAGTTGTTCATACTGCTACAAGTAATTCTGACAAAATGAATTAAACTATGAAAATGCTAACAAATAACAAGTGTCTTTAAGAATTGCTTAAGAAATTAAAAGGTGTATTTTTAATGAGACAGTTGAGTATATATTTTGACATTGAATTTTGGCTTAACTCCTCTAAATTTATTTTTTATTATTTTCTTTTAATCATATTCCATGATAGTTCCATATGAATAACCATAGCACATACTAACGACTTGTCACATTCACATTACATGTCCATCCAACAAAGTTTTACATAGATAGATGACCACAATATGAAAATTCATGCAAGTTTTCTCATCATTACAATTGATGTTGTTGTAAAACTTTGAAGATATAGTCATATAGGGAAACAAAATACAAAGTTCTTTTCAGAAACATCATTTAAAAGAGATAAAGGAATGTTTGAAAATTCACCAAAATTTATAAAGAACTTTGTTGCATAATTGATAATTAAAAGAAGAAAAGTGTTAAATATAGATATCATATGATTAGATTTGATATCATATGATTAGATTTGATATGATTAGATTTGATATCATATGATTAGATTTAATTTAGAATATTTTGGGTCTTTTATGTTTTGCGCTAGTGTAAACCTAAAACTATAAATAGGGTGCCTTGTTTTGTATTCTACATTACAACAGAACAGATTTCACAGTTGCAGTTAGCAAGTGAAAGTTCAATAAGAAATCTCACATTTGTGGATAACACATTCTCTCCAAATACTTCTTCTCTCATTCTTCTCTTTCTTGTTTGTTATTCTGCTTCTCTTTTGTTGTTCTTGATAATTACTTGTTATTACCATCATTATCATATTGTGGGTTTGTTCATCAATCTTGAGATCAAGATTGAAGGGAATTCTTCATAGGGTGTGAGGTGAATTTCCAACATCTGGTATCTAGAGCTCCGGTTGAGAGATTCAAGGAAGGAAGATAGTGATGGCGATGAATTATCCGAACGACAACTTTCCGGCGACCCTGCCAATTCTCAAGAAAGACAATTATGAGAATTGGTGCAAGCAGATTAAGGTGATCTTCTGTTATCAAGATCTTTGGGATCTTGTGAAAGATGGAGTAACATCACTTGGGGAGAATGCAACGGAGGCGGAAAAGGCAGCGCACAAAGAATTGAAGAAGAAGGATTATAAAGCACTCTTTATAATTCATCAATGTGTTGATCCTGATAACTTTGAAAAGGTTAGTGATGTTGATTCAGCAAAAGAAGCATGGGAGATTCTTGAAAAGTCGTTTGGAGGCGCAGAGAAGGTGAAAGAGGTGAGGTTACAAACTCACAAGAGAATCTATGAGTTGCTTCAGATGGAAGACAACGAAAGCATTACAGATTTCTTCACCAGAGTTACAAGGTTGGTGAATCAAATCAAAGTATGTGGAGAAACGCTGACGACGAAAGCAGTTGTCTCAAAGATTTTGAGATCGTTGGCTCCAAAATTCGACCACGTGGTAGTTGCCATAGAAGAGTCGAAAGATCTGTCAGTGTTGACGAAGGAAGAGCTTCAAGGGACTCTTGAGTCTCATGAACAGAGGATGGCTGAGAGAGCTGCAGGAAAGTCGAAAGATATGGCTTTGCAGGCACAGACGGAAAAGGAGAGAAAAGGCAAAGGTAGCTGGAATGGCAACAAAGGAGGAAACCGGTCGAATCAAAAGAAACCTTGGAACCAAGGCAACCAAAGAGGTGGTGCTGCAGGTAAAGGAAGAGGTGGTGGTCGAAAGACAGACAAAAGCCACATTCAATGTTTCAATTGCCAGAAGTATGGTCATTATGTTAGTGATTGTCCAGAAAAGAAGAGAAATCAAGAGACTGATGCAAAGCTGGCAAACCATGAAGAAGAAGAAACGTTGCTAATGGTCACAACAAACGATGAAGAAAGATTTCAAGATCAGTGGTACTTGGACTCAGGATGCTCATCACACAAGACTGGAAGGAAAGATTGGTTTGTCAACATGAAGCCCTCGTCGAAGAATACGATGAAGTTTGCAAATGACAACACTCTAGCAGCTGAAGGTGTTGGTGATGTTCTGATTATGAGGAAAGATGGCAAAAGGTCAACAATTTCCAATGTGTTGTACATACCAGGCATAAAGAGTAATTTGCTCAGTATAGGGCAGCTTGTCGAAAAGAACTACAAGGTAGTTGTCGAAGACAAGATGATGAGAGTCCTCGACGCAGGTGGTAGACTAATCTTGAAGGCTCCAATGTCTCAGAATAGGACCTTCAAGATTGGACTCAATGTGATGGAGCACAAGTGTTTAGCAACTGCAGCCACTGAAGTCGAAATAGAAGTTCGATAGGACCCAGTTGCAGATGAAGCAGGTTCAAGCATACCTCGACGAACTAGACACATGCCTGCAAGGTTGCAAGAATGTGTAATCACATCAGATGATGTAGTCGATGAAGAGGGTGAGCTGGTACGTTATGCTTTCTACGCAGATGTCGAACCAGTCAATGCAGCTGAGGCATTGAAAGATTCAAAGTGGGTGAAACCAATGATTGAAGAGTTAGAGTCCATCAAAGTCAATGATACCTGGTCACTTGTCGAATTTCCGCAAGGCAAGAAGGCAATTGATGTGAGGTGAGTTTACAAGGTGAAGGTAAATCCTAAAGGAGAAGTAACTCGACACAAAGCGAGACTTGTGGCGAAAGGATTTCTTCAGAAGGAAGGAATCGACTTCGATGAAGTATTCGCACCTGTTGCTAGAATCGAAACAATCAGGTTGGTTGTTGGTCTAGCAAATATGAACAACTGGCACACATGTCAGATGGACGTGAAGTGTGCATTCCTTAATGACCCCTTAGAAGAAGAAGTTTATGTTGCACAACCAGCTGAGTTTGTGAAACAAGGCGAAGAAAGAAAGGTGTACAGGCTTCATAAAGCCCTGTATGGACTTAAGCAAGCTCCAAGGGCTTGGAATAATAAAATTGACAGCTTCTTAAGGGAGAAGGAATTTGTGAAGTGTACAACTGAGCATGGAGTATATGTAAGAAGAAGCAATGGCGAATTGCTTATACTATGTTTCTATGTTGATGATTTGTTGATAACAGGGAGTTCCAAGAAGGAGATCGAAGATTTCAAACATGACCTGAGTAAGGAGTTTGAAATGTCAGACTTGGGAAATCTCTCATATTTCCTTGGCATCAAATTCTACAAGACAAGTAGAGGTTTGATGATGCACCAAAGAAGATATGCAGGCGAGATACTCAAGAGATTTGAGATGCAAGATTGCAACCAAACTTCGACTCCAGCTGAGCCCAGATTGCAACTGTCGAAGGATTCAGATGAAGATGATGTCGATCCAACCCAATACAGAAGACTTATTGGGTCACTTAGATACCTTTGCCACACAAGGCCTGACTTAGCATACATCGTTGGTATGATAAGTAGATTCATGCAGAAACCAAAGGTATCACACCTAGCAGCGGCGAAGAGGATACTGAGGTATCTGAAAGGAACTCTCGACTATGGCATTTTGTTTCCAGCAGCTGATGAAGGAAAAGAATGCAAGTTAGTGGGATACACAGACTCCAGTTGGTGTAGTGATGCTGAGGATCGAAAATTCACAGCTGGATATGTGTTTATGTTAGGTGGTGCACCAGTTGCTTGGAATTCGAGAAAGGAACCAGTGGTGGCATTATCATCATGCAAAGCAGAATATATAGCTTCTTCCCTTTGTGCATGTCAAGCAACTTGGATGGTGAACTTGGTCGAAGAAATCACAGGGAAAAACCATAGAGCAATTACCATGAAGATAGACAGCATGTCAGCTATCAACTTGGCAAAGAATCCAATAGCTCATGGTCGAAGCAAGCACATCGAAATGAGGTTCCATTATCTACGAGAGCGGGTAGCAGAAGGGAAGATGAAGTTGAAACACTGCAGAACTGAGAATCAGATTGCAGATATCATGACGAAGGGAGTGCAGGTCGAAGCCTT